GTGTTGCCACGTAGTGGTACACATATTAAATAGAAACAAATGGTTGAGAATCTTTGGCCCTCTAATACATCGCACAGCGTATACATACGCACTTACACAAGCTTACACAGAAGAGCCGTTGCCGCTATTGGCTACACTATCCCCTCCCTCGCCGTTCTCAAGAACGCGTTGTACAAAAATACCATACTTCATCTCAGAATTTCTACTAAACGAATCATCAAAATTTTCTGATTTTTTTTTTAATACAATTGTAATAAGTTAATTTAGCATGTGTCAGTTTTTTGAAAATATCTATAGAACCGTTTTTCCTTAAATTACTGAAATCCATCATTTTACTGGCCTTTTCTCGTTTTCACATGGTAAACTTGCGAATTCGATAATTTATTGCTACTCTCCCAATCATCAGATCTCTCTAAGATTTTACACATATATTTGTGATGCTCTATTGAATACTCATGCAAAATTTCAAAACATTCTATAGAAAATGGATTTTGGGACTAACGTCCTTAACGAGCCTTGACTCACCACGACGTTCCAGACTTCGTCCATCTTTTCCGAAACGGTCAACATCGGATACATCTGTTCCACGAGTCGATCAATTTTATTTTGCTTCGGTGGCGACTCGGTGGTAGTCGTAGTAGTAACGTTATACGTTTGCCGGGGGTTTGCAGTCCCTCTGACCAAAATCGCGTCATGCACGTCGGTCATCATGTCATAGATGGTCCCCAGGCGATCGGACACAAGATTCACATGGAACTGCAGCTTCCTGTCCATATTGTTCGTCGCCTGTCTCAGATTCTCGATCTCGATCGTGATGTGATTTATCACCTCATTACTCATGGCCTTCGTGATTTCAATCACGCTCATGCTAACCGGCTTCTTCTCGCTGGCCTCTGCGTTTATATCGTCGTTCTGCAGGAAGTTGCTGTCCAGTTGATTTTTCAGATCGATCAGCTTGTTGTCGATGTCAGACACTTTTTGATCGAGGGACACCAATTTCTCGCCGAGCATCTCCGATGACGGCTCAGATCGACTCTGATGAATCGCGTGCAACGTCGAGGCTGTCGCACCGAACAAATTTCAATTATGACCAGAAAACAAACGCAGCGAAAGACTGGGATGGTTTTTAACTTTTTGTTAACGGAATTATTTCTTTTTTACAATTTTGCCGTCGTAATCTGATTAAAAGTTTTACTACTTGTGTTACGTTTTACGTACGTACCGCTTTTGACGACGTTCTCATTCTTATCGTTGGGCAACCTTGCCTGGTATGTGGCCTCGCTCGGTACGAACGTTGTATGAGGGTTGAATAGCTTCAGATCTAATGTCCTCAGCTTCGTAATCACCGAGTCGGTCTTATCGATGTTATCGTTCACCCGAGAGTCCAGGGCCTCCACTCTCCTCATCAAGTGCTCGACTGCTTTGTCCAAATTCTCGATTCGTTGCAACTTCGATTCCAACGTCGAAACTATCACTTCGAACACGTTGAACAGGTACTGCTCCCTGTAACCAAAGGTTCCAATTACACCGATACCTCGCTTTGCGTCGTTTCGTTTTGCGTTTCTTCGAAGTTGCGTCGCTGCTTAACCCTTTGACTACGGCAGACTTTGGCACGCACTGGCCGTACGGTACGGTACGAATTCATTCGAGACGTCCACTGGGTACGGCGAAATTTTTCGTTAGACATGCATTTCTGAGGAAGTATATTAAAATATTCAAAATACTGAAATTTATTACATTAAACGAATATTACTTGAAGTGAACATTAATTTTAAGCTTTTTTTAAATAACTTTCTACATTACTCTACATTACCATAAGACCAATTATAAAATTTTAAAATAGGCGGAACAAGCGAAATTTGATTTGGACGCCAATTGGCGCCTACAGTACCGGGAAGCCAATATGTTTCGGACGCCAATTGGCGCCTACAGTACCGGAAAGCCAATGTGTTTCGGACGCCAATAGGCGCCAACAGTAGTCAAAGGGTTAAACGGTGAGTTTAGATTTTGCACTAAGTTTACAAAATGTCCGTTTGCACTGATCTAGATTGTCCACACTATCGTAGTTTATATTAAACGCGAGAGTTTAATGATTAACTGAGTGTGAGTTAATCAATCCGCACAAGAAGTTACGGCCCGTGAGATTATATTAATTTGCCACTCTACTGAGTGACGAGAGCTAATGACCAATGCTTGCGGAAGGCACGTCCTCACGATCGGAGGTTCCTTCCCTCAAGCAGAGGTTTCGCAAAAATCACTTAATCTATCAAGTGCGTCAGGCCTCGTATCCCTATACCGATGGGCTCGCCCACACCACCGGCTGACTTGATTACTTACTTTGAAGTGTGTACAGTTGCCTGTCACAGTAATCGAAGTGCTAATTACCGGTTTGGGGCGCCCTTATTAAGGCACGTGTCGCATTCACGGTTGCGAGAAGGCTTCCCCAGCGGCGCCACCTAGTGTCCGCTCCGAGAGGCTCGTCGCGTCGGACCGGTTGCGCGTTTACGCGAGGACGGAGATGATATGCTCCGTCACACATTTAATAGGAGAAATATATCAAAGACGGTACAATTGTTTAACCCCTATAACTACCACCGGGATTGAGATAGAGGGATGAAAAATGTCATGGGACGTTTTCGTTGGACACTCTATTGAATGGCTTATTGCAAGCTTCGTAAAGCAGTACACTTTGTTTATTAAAATCTCCCAAACCCCAAAACTTCTCAAGAATATTCTTTCTTTCTCTTTCATCGTAATTCTTTGTGCAAGCTTCGGACAACGGCAATCTTTGTTTTGAAAAATTTTTGCAGGTACAATATTTCTGGTTTGAGTACAATATCTTTTTGTTTCAAATTTTGTTTGCATCAAATTCTGTTTAATCTTTCGCACTTTTTGGATGTATGATTCATCAATCTTTTCTCCATTGTTATTCGTATCTTCATTCCCTGAAGACGAAAGTTTTTACTTAACTTTACTTACCCAGTTTTACCTTACTGAAATAATACTGTACCNATTCTCCAATGATCGAGTAAAATGTAGGAAATCTGTAATACTAGTTTAATTTGAATATGTCAAGAAACTTGATTCCCATCTGCATGACATAAATAGATGAACCTTAATCATCGGTTCTAGGATATTGCGCATTCGAAGCATACACTTGCATAAATTAGCATTTGATGTCCGACATATTTTCTGCGTCGCCTTATTAAGAGATGTGCACCATCTACGGCAGTATATTAATTTACGTCGGATACACAGGTGAGTCTCGTAGCATAACTCGTAAATATATTTGTTGCACAATTGACAATTTTTAAACGAATGTTTAAACAAAATGTTTTCCATTTCTCTGCACTTTCATCGAGATATAAAACCATGCAACGTTTGTTTAAAAATTGTTATGCAACAAACACTTTACGAGTTATTCAAAGTCGTATGACGAGACCTTTATAAAATTCTGTATAGAAAATCGATTTTCCTGTCCCTCTCATCGCAACGTTTGCGCTGTTCGATTTTAGGAATGCATAAATAAGAGAACGACGTGCATCGATGATATGTACGTACGTCTTTACTCTGGTCTAGAAGTGAAAGTATGCGAATCTTTTATGGATTTCATTTGCATTTCGAAGATCATACGCCATTTTCTTTTTTTTTTTTTTTTAAGGAAAGGCAGTATTGACTTTTTAAATATTTGAATAAATAAATTTATGAGGAAATTATAGTGAGTACCTAAAATACCTCGGATCTAATGCATAGCAAATGAAGTTCGTTTAATATACACCTTGGTTTGTCTCATTCTCGCTGAGTCAGCTGCCCACTTTGTGGAATATTCTTAAGCGCTGCATCGAGAACACTTGATCAAAGTTTCTCACCGGTCTCCTTGGGAGAGTATAATGAACGGGTGTTTCATAAGTGACATTGAAAGTTCCACGGAGTGAAATAAAAAGCAAAGCTCGCCGGGTAAAGTATAGCTTGCACAGATGTGTATATCCTTTCTCCTGTTACGATATAAACTGTAATTTTACGCAATCCGTCTGCAGGTAGGTCAGTAGTGCTACTCTCCGTGCTTACTACATTGTATAATCCTTTCGAATCTCGCGAACCCACGAACTCTACACATGCCTACACCAATCATATGCATATGTATACGTTTATGTACCGTTATACAATTTCTACCCGCGTTTTTCACCGTTTCAAAACAAAAATGGCGAAGAATGTTCAGTTTTTTTTAATTAGTGACACCTCTGCCGAAAGTTTAAGATGTGTAATGGAAACTTGTGTCCAGTATTTGAAGTAATGAACTTTTAGAGAAAATGATAATTATACGTATAGGAGTAATAAAGTTGTTCGACCTGTTTTTCTTGATCATAAGGAATTTCTAATAGACTAATACGTAGTTTGGGCATTTTTGCTATTGGACTGTACGTGACTTACGACTATCTACATGTCTTATAATTCTTACTTTTGTATACTTTTTATTGTATATCTTAAATA